CCCCAAAACCCCAAAACCCCAAAACCCCAAAACCCCAAAACCCCTTTTGGTTTAATCATTATTGATGTTGTTTAGCATATATTAATTTCATTGCTTGGGCTCTCAACTTTCTTAGTCTCTTCCTTTCGATCAGGGACTCAGTTGATGATTCCTTGAACATATCTCTTTGAGAAGACATTTTGGGATTTGTTGAATCTAGATTATTACAAGAGATACATACAGCAACCGATTTCTCTGTTGTAGAGATATGGCAAAGCAAGAGAATTGTTCCCCTCCATTGAGCTATTCTTCATCCCATTCCTAGACTGAGGGCTACTCTTCTTCGGAGAGTTTCTTCTAGTCCTACTTCTACTTAGTGAAATCATTGAGCTATTTTTCTATGCAATATTTGGTTTGACCAATTTCCAAAAGGAAGACTCCAAATGAGGGAATTAAAAGATACCTTTGAAATTCTCCCTAGGCTGTGCAAGTGTGTTGATCCTATCACTCATGTAAAAAGCTGTTTTAGGAGCCTTCCCATCTGACCGTTTCATTTCATTTTTGGAGTAATTGTTCTACAGGATTACTCAAAATGTACCTGGAGCAGACCCATTCTTGATTTATTTAGCTGTCTTTCTGTCTTGAAGCATTTTGCTCTGAATTTCTAAGCTTAAGTAAGAATTTCTTACTCTTGATCCTCTCTCTTTCGTCTTGGAGATAGTTCCTCTTCTTTCTGAGAGGCTTCTTACTCATGGATCCTAGATTTAGATTAGCTATTATGTCTTGGCAATACATGTAGTTCACGCTTATAATGGTTTATAAAGTCTATAGTTATAAAGCTCTATTTAGTAACACGTATTATCTTTCTTCAATTACTTAGGAAATTGCTGCTAGAAATATTTGCAATATCTCAAAAGAAGGGAAAGCTCTTGTTCATAATCATTTATCTAGGAATTGATTAAATTTGATAAAAAGAGTATTTTTATAAAATTTCATTCGATTTTCGATGAATTATAACTCCTTTATACAACCAATTGACTCTGCAATTTCTAAACAAGGAAAGACAGCTCAGAAGGATGGCTTACTAACATAGACTTTTCTTTTGGCTTTCTTATCGCTTGTTTCTCCCTTACTAGTCAAGGTTTTTCTATATAATTAGCACTCAGCATATTAAAACCTAGCTTGAATTTTTAGCTAAATGATAGTAGACTTACCTCGGTTCGATATCTTTCTCATCATTGGTCTTGATAAATTTCAAAGATTTCTTCTTCTCATTTGTGGCAAAGAACTTCTTCTTGACGATCTAAAGGGAGTTATACTACCTAAATTTGACATAAAAGGTCTGTAATTATTGCTTACCCCCATTTTATACTTTTTAGCATAATTTACATATTTCTTGAACCCATTTTCTTTTGTTAGGATCACCTTAGCAAAGGTAGTCCAGCCATTTCAGTCAAATTTCTCAAAATTTAGAGGAGGAACATCGAATCCTTGGTCTGCGTTTTTATAGAACTCATTTCGGTCGAAACTTAGAACTCTAGAGATTAGTGGTGGCAGGTTTACCTCTCCTTAGTCTGTCTGCTCATTTTGGCTAATAGTAGTCTATATTCCAGCTTAGGTTCCCAGAAGGATCATATAGGCATACTTACCTTTGATATAATATTATCTTAATTAAATCATGAATAATGGGGTTTTGGGGTTTTGGGGTTTTGGGGTTTTGGGG